ATCCCCCTGGTGTCACATGCAATATGTGAGAAAAGAGGCAAGTGATGGCAATTCTCCCTAAGATACATATCTAACCCAGGGGACACCCATCTCTTTTCAGCATAAATAGTTTTGTCCTCTCTGTTATGTTGTAATGGTGGGTTTATCCTTTTACTTATGTCTGCCTGCCTATTTTCCTCCTTTCTCTTATGCAATCATCTAGGCACATACTGGTTCATGTGAGATATCATCCTATGAAGCAGTATGGCCGCTTCAAGACAAATCTTCCAAGTTTAGTCCTTGGAAAGAACCTGGTCTTACAAGAACCTGGACTGTTTCTACTAGTCAGGTCTATTTGGGTGATTCTCGGGTGAGTCACTCTTCCTGTTTTTCTAAGTCCTAGTTCCCTTATCAATTAAATAAAAATAGGAGAAAACAATGTGTTACAAGGCAACTGTGTGGTTCGCAATCCTGTATTTTCCAGGCAACATTAATATTATATAAGATAAATCCGAAACAAATAGGGGCGCTGCAACCTTCCTGCATGCCCAATGTATAAGAACTGGCCTGGAAGATAAGTACATGGGGAAAATGGGACAGGGGAAGAGGAAGGCTTGCATCCCTTCCACTTGTGATTTTTTTTCTTAAAATAGATACGCAAATACATACTTCTCTAGTTGTGCTTTCTAGGCATGTGGCTTCTGCCCTTCACCTTGGCCCAGCTGAGTGCACTATTCTCTACAGTCTTCTAGTGGTGGAACAAAAACATTCCTTTTCAGCAGCATTTGTGTCCATGTGCAGATAGCTCTATGGAATCCCTAAGCCAAATACTCTTTTGTTGCTCGCGTCATAGGGAATCTAAGAAACACCATTATCCCATTTTAAAGAACAACCATGGAAGAGAACAAGATGCTTATCTGTTTCCAGGTTGCCCAACTTGATGTCACTATTGGTTCTATCTGTACTTACCTAAGGCTGAAGGCTAGTACAAATTTGAGTGATTTCTACCGTTATCTGTAGCGCTGTTACTAAATTAATTTGTTTGTATGTAACTTTATTGTATTTTATGCCTACTTTTCAGTTTTAATAATAATTATAGACGTGTATATAATTTTATTGGAGTGTTTTCTGCCCTAAAGGCTGTACTAAAGGTTTTGTTGGAGTATGTGGCTTTGGGCAACAGGCTGGCTGATCTGTATCATTTAACCTACTTTCTTATGATTGTTAGGATAAGAAATAAGGAAACATCAATAATGCACCTTCCACACTCGATATTCCAAAGCTAATCCTGCCACATATCCATCCATGCGTATTTGCAGAATTGTCAAGTGAAACAAATCATATTCTCTTGCCAGTACAACTCTGCAATTTGTATGTAACTTCAGACAGAAATCCTTGGACATCTGTAGGCTCCCTGGAGGCTAAATCATTTTTGCATAAAGAAATTTCTTGCAAAAGGCTGTTTCAATGGGAGGTCCTTTAGAACAGCCATCCCCACACAACAAACTCTAAGTACATAGGTAATCCTCGATTTACAACAGTTTATTTAGTGGCCATTCAAAGTTACAATGGCATTGCAAAATGTGACTTATGACTGTTTTTTTTTCACACAACCATTGTATCATCATCATAGTCATGTGATCAAAATTCAGACACTTGGCAACTGACTCAGATTTATGACGCTTGCAATGTCTTGGGATCATGTGATGACCTTTTGCGACCTTCTAACAAGCAAGGTCAATGTGGAAGCCAGATTCACTCAACGACCGTGTTACTAACCGTGGTTCATTTAACAATGGTGGCAAGAAAGGTTGTAAAGTGGAGCAAAACTCATTTAAGAACTGTCTCATTTAGCAACAGAAATTTTGGGCTCAAATGTGGTTGTAAATTGATGAGTATCTGTACAACAACCTGCAATTCTCAATCATCATAGTTATGTGAGACAGGGAATTATAAGAGCTGAAGTGCGATCACGTCTGGAAAAGGATAAGTTTAGGAAGTTGCTCCAGGAGGCATGCACCAGATGAAGTTAAACACCCACATGGCCAATTAGTAAATTGTAAAATTATCTCAATGTTGCTGTAATATTTGGGCATGAACCTCTATATAAAGAGCCCTCACAGTGCTGTGGCAGCAGGTCCAGTCCAGCAAAGAGTTATACGTACATGAGCCTCGTGTAAGTATTTCTGAGGAAACTACAAATAGTTGATTCCTAAATAAGAGATGTAATCTGCAAAAGAGACATGCCATATATGTCAGGGCATGTTTATATGCAGTACCTTTGAGATATATGTCTCTTCAAGAACCACATAGGATTATACATGAAAGCAGATATATGCTCTGTAATGGCCCAAGAGAGCAAGGGAGAATGATCTTACCAAATTCAAAGAAGCTGAGCTTTTATGAGAAAAAGATCTTTGAAGTTTGTCAATGTAATTATAAACTGGTTTGCTCAGCCTGAAGTCCTACTAAGCTTAAGGGAGCTGTCTTCTACTGATTAAGAGCATTGACCCATCTTTCCCAGTGTTGCTTTCATTAATTGGGAGCAAGTCCTTCAAGGTTAACAGCAGAGGGACATTTTCCAGGTGCTCTTTCAGATGACAGGAATCCAAACAAGGTCCATCGGCAACCCAAGCAAGTGATCTAGCCTAAGCTACAACTCTGTTCACAATAGGCAGACCAACGGTCAAGCCTATTCAATCCCATTTTGTTCTGGAAGCCACATCCCAAAGTACGTTGACACAGGATTGCAGTCAAACATTTCTTTTGTATTCACTTTCCATAAGGACGAAAGACTTATTCCTGTGTCAATGAACCAAGGTCTGGGTTCTTAAATGTTACAAATTGTGAAAAGATAAATAGCCTTTTGTGATAAATTATGTGATGGAGAATTTTACCTCTATGCAAGTGCATGCATATACCCCAAAAGGTATATAACACGCATCTTTCTCTCCCTCATTTTCTCTCTGATACAATTATTACTGTGGTCCTTTTAGGCAAATACTCTGCACTGCACCTCTATTAAATATAATAATACATGGAATTCTATGGGACATAAATTCTTAGATTCATAGAAATTGGGAACTAGGAAGCATATCTGAAGCAACAGAATGAGAAAAATCCAGTTAAGAGTTTTCTATTATGCCTGGAATCATGATGCACAATGCATAGGCAAACTCTACAAATAAATGTAGTACATGCTACATTTGTACAAGGATCCATCATGGGATGCTATTGCATGAAAGCAACAAAACCTTGCACTCATTAAAGGCCAAGCAAGTACACTATGGAAATTCTGTATGCATGCAGGCATGTGCACACACAACATGTGCTTTTGCACCCAAGAAGTCAGAGGGAGGAAATGCTAGCTTGCATGAGCTTTGCTGCAAATGACAGCCTAGTCAGAAGGGGCAAGTGGCTCTGAGAATCAAATGAATGCTTACCCTCAAAGAGCTTATGACAGTCACTGCTCATATATAGGTGAAGGGGATGGCGAACCTCATGACTACACCCATTCAGCAATAGGCAGGCATACTGCAAATTTGGGCTTGTGTGAAAGCTATGCCAGCACACACACAGGCAATTCCAATTTGTAATGCCACAGGCAGCATGGAAATGCAGAAATATGACACAACTGTTCTCTGTTACTCTATCTGCTGCTTCTGAAATAATTATTTTTAAAAAACCTGATTGATTTATGTATTTTACAAGGATAATTAAGGGAGGTGAAAGAAGGGCATAAACAGGAAGGGGGACAAATCAGAGGAAATAATAAATAAGGGGTACCAAATCCACTGAAGCCCCAACTATATATATCAGAATGGGTAAGAGAGTATTGACACATTCTGTTTTACACCCAGAGGACTAGGAACCTGCCTTCCTATTTTGATGAAAATTGAGATTACTAGGATACAATAGAAATGCACACACTGGGATACAGAAAAGTATAGCTTCGTCTGTATGGATATAAATGTGTGGAGCCCCAGTTTTATAAACTCATTTATTCATATGCACATTATGGTGGGATCCAAATACATTTCAACTGCTGTCACCCCATCATGCAGATCAGTTTAGCCTACAAAACTCTTACTGCCTCTCCGTCTATTCACATTCTCAAGTGCATATGCACCAAGACAGAGAAAAAAAAAATAGTCCCACAAATGTTGGATCATTGCAAATGTGCAAAACATGCATGCATAAGTGCTAAAAGAAAAGGTATCTGGACACATACATGGGTGGTGCAGGAAAAGCCATTTGCACACATCAAGCAAAAAGGAGGCAGGCACTGTCACATTTACTGATTAAGCTTATATGGAGAGGAGCTCACATAATAATGCCCATAATGATATACAGAAATATATATACACAAACAAAGCAGGACACATGCACATGTAAAACAAATAGAAAATCTCTTCTTTAGGTGTCCTTTCTCAGTGTCGGTCTTAAGCACATTACTACAGACACACCAAAATGTGTGCATGCTCACACATATACTCACTAAAGCTCCTAAGCTCAGCCTGCGCACGTGCACTTGTGCATTTGCACATGCTTGTGGAAACATACACATATGGGGAACACATGTCCACCACACACCCCGATATGTTGGAAGCTCCAACACACTAGCTTTTGGCGACCCCATGCCAAAAGCGAGGCTGTAAAAGAAAAAAACCTTAATGCCTCTGTCATTCAAGCAACCCCCCCTTTCTCCTTTACAGGGGTCCCGTAGAAGCTTTCCTGCTCTGAAAGTTCACCGCGGGACCCCTCACCTTGCTAGGAAGGGGGCGTGGCAGGGGCCACGGCGGTAGCTCCGGTGTCACCTCCAGCTACGACCGCACCTTCCCTGCCCGGAGTCACGATCAGGCGGCATATTTCCGTCGTGGGAACTCTGAGCTCCTCTTCCAACCACTGGGGTTTGGTGACATTTTGGTACCCCCGCAGAAAAACCTATTCCTCCACCCCGCTCCCGCATGCACCTCCCAGAGCAAGCCCCGCACCTCCCTGGCCCTGAGCGCTCCCATTACCTGCCACCTATAGGAGCCGCTCAGCACATGTTCTTCTCGGGGGGGACCCAACGGCTGGTCCCCCCCCGCCCTTTATCCACCCCCTTCTCTCTTCGCCCGGCGGTGTCCTTGCGGTCCTGTACGGAGGCAGGTGGGCGGGGAGGGAGCGGAGGTCCAGTGATTTCCTCTGGGAAAGAAGGGGCGGAGGCGCAGCCACGCTAAAAGAGGGGGAGCGCGCGTCAGGCTTCCATGGCGGCGCCCCTTGCCGTGGACGAGCAGCTCAGTCTCCGAAGGCTGCGCTGCTGTCAGCCGCTCCCTCCCTCCCTGCCCGCCTCTCAGCCCGGGAAGGATCCTCTCCGCTCGCTCGCACGCCCGCCCCGCCCCCTCCCGCTCGCTCTCTCGCTCGCTTTCTGCTGTTTAGGAATGCAGCGCTTCGCCCAGCCCCCTCCCCAGACTCATTCATAGCGTCACATGGATCGGAGGGTGGTGGAGGGAGAGGCGCACTCACTCTTCGGACACTCACCCGGACCCCCCGCCAATCTCATCCTGCTCTACCTTAGCTCTTCGTTTCTCTCCTCCCCTTCTTTTTAAAGCCCGGCCGTTGCCCTTCTTTAGCATCCCCTTTCCTTTGTCTCCTCGAGAACGATCAACTTCATTTGCATCCCTGTCCATTTTGCGCTGTCTTCAGATTCCTGACACCGCGTTCAAAAAACCCGAAGGAATCTTCTCTATCTCCAGCAGTAGCAATCCAACTTCAGCGGTTTTCATAGGGGAGGCTTCTAAGGGCCCAGAGGATTGGCTTTCTTCTCTTGTACTTTATCTTTCTATTTCATTTTTCTATTCTATTTTTCTGCTCCCATTTAAAAACTCACTCATGTTTATACTTTAAATGTTTGGTTGCAGCGTTCACATTGAATGCTCAGTTTTACTTGCATTGAGTTCCCCCAGATGGAACCACTGCCTTGTATATCTATCCTAACTTTCTGATTTCGGGTTCAGTTGGCACCTGGGATAAAGATCTGTATGAGAAACCAACTTTAGAAGCAGTCCTTCACTTACAACCACAATTGAGCCCAAAAGTTATGTTGCCAAGTGAGACAGTTGTTAAGTGAACTTTGCCCCATTTTACAACTCTTTTTGTCAAAATTGTTAAGTGAATCACTGCAGTTAAGTTAGTAACACAGTTGTTAAGTGAATCTGGCTTTTCCATTGATTTTGCTTGGCAGAAAGTTGCAAACGGTGTTCACATGACTTTGGGACACTGCAGCTGTGATTAAATATGAGTCAATTGCCAAGTATCTGAATTTTGATCACATGACTGGGATGCTGTAACAATTGTAGGTGTGAATAATCATCATGAGTCACTTTTTTCAGTGCCGTTGTAACTATGTTATTAAATGAACTGTTGTAAATCGAGGACTATCTGTATATGTTTCTCTTCGTTCTTTGTCCCTGATTTCACTATCAGAAATAATATTTAGAGTAGAATTACACAACAGCTTTACTTGCGTGGAATCATTTTTTAATCATTTGAATAAACCACATAGTTGACATAGCATGTTAAGGCTGGCTTGGCTATCTGTGATCTATAGCATCCAGTCATATTTTTATGACACACAGACTCCATCAAGATTAAGCCAACAAAGTGAAATAATAGCTGCTCAGTTTTAAGTAATGTACTTATTTTGTAAAATTCAGTGTCTCTAACTATTGAAACACAGCTCCTGGCTGCAAAGTCATTCCTCTATCCTAAACCATAATTCACAATTACAATCCAAAATGTATGGACTTGCCCAGTGCAACTCAATGCATCACCATATGGCACATTGTATAACCCAACTTCATGTACTGACAATAGGTTGTAACAGCAGTAAATTGTCGCTTGTCCATGTACAATGCTCAATATTTGCTCTAAAAATTTGGAAAAATAGTATGACCTGGGTGAGTCAAAGAAGTAAGAAGAATTAAGTATATGTGACACTACACTATTGCCCTTTGATGAACCGATACTGCTATGCATGTCTGTCTGCAAGACACTATTGCCTAATATTTGCAGAATTTTAAGAGATCTATAGTTTTATACAGATGCTCCCACACACATATCTTTACAGAGATATTTTTATTGAATTAATCATTTCTAAATTGTAAGTCTTCTAATGTATTTTAACTGATTTGATTTTAATTCTGATATTGTTAAAGCAGTGAACAGGAAATAGAAATAAATATACAGTATAGGCAATGATGGACTGTTTTAAGAAAACGGAAAATACATAATTTGTATTTGCATTGGGTAAATAGATATAATTTGAAGTAAAATCAGAAAACGAGAACCCCTGGCTCATAAGCCCATAGGGGTGATCCAGCCTCATTTTAAAGCATTCAGAATTTAACAAAAAATGAAAATAGGTATATTAAACCTCTATGGGGGGAAAGCATGGGTCAGTCCCCATTTGAAGCTGCTTAAAAAAACCCACCAAATTTTATATCCCAATACATCGACATTATGTCCCCAGAACTCATGAAAAGGAGATGGCAACTCTGTAGTTATAGTCTTCATTGATGAGAGATTGAGACAACTATACACTTCCCAAATGTCAGTTCGTATATATGTATATGTCCCAATCTTAAAAAGCTTAACTCCTGATCACTTCATTGACCCACCTATATAATTTTCTCAACAGAAAATAAGTCATAAATACCTGCTGAATTGTTTTTCAACTTCTTCAGGTTTAATATTTCCTGTATTTCTTTTGGGGGCTCAGCCAAGGTTTCCTAGGTACTACCATCTAATAGTTCTTTCTTAGTTAGATACTTAAAACATGCCAATTTATACTACTATCCTATTGAATATGTAGCATTACTAAATGGTGCATTTTGATTCATTCATATTGTGTACTATAAATAGTATAAATATACTATTCATACTACACATTTAATAATAGCTTAATAATAATAGCTTTAATAATAGCTTATTAAAGCTATTTAATTTTTTTTAAAAAAAATTCTTGGTATAGTTTATAATCCTTTTAAAATATAGGGCTTTATTGAAAACCATATATTTTCAGGGAGAAAAGAAGTACACCCAGTGGTGGGATTCAAATATGCGAACAACTGGTTCTCTGTGTGGATGTTGCTTCCGGAAGTCCATTCTGGGCCTGGGCAACAAAAAAATAGCTACTGGTGCAAACTGGCTGAATCCCACCACTGGTTCAAACTGGCTGAATCCCACCACTGAGTACACCCCAATATTCTTTGCCTGCTCCCTCTTTCTCCTGCTCCTTCTCATAGGACAGATACCAAGAAAGGGATTGAATACAGTGGTGACAAATCTATGGCATGCATGCCAGAGGCAGCACTCAGAGCCCTCTCTGTGGGCATACGTGCCATCGCCCCAGCTCCGCCTCTCCCCACAGCCCCCTTCTCATCAGCAGCCCCCCCCCCGGATGAGAGTCACCCCCAAGTGTGGCCCATGCAGAGCAGCACAGCCAAGGACATGGCAGCCGGGCAGCGGGGACAAGACTCCGCCTTCATGCCCTGTCATGCGCAGTTGATGCTGCAGGGTGTGGGCGGAGGATGTTTCTACCATGGTGCTGCTGGGCCGCCTGGACGATCTGTGGCGGGCTGTGGAGGCAGTGAATGACCCTGCGGGCGAGTGGGGCTGGAGGTGGAGCAGGGCGGTTGAGATGGGGGTGGGCAGGCAGGACGGGGCAGAGTGGGGGGCAGGTGGAGACAGATTGGGGCACTCAGTCTCTAAAAGGTTCGTCATCACTGGAATAGAGGGAACAACCTGGCTAAAGAAAGAAGTTTGACCCTTCAAATATTGCTGAAGTACAACTTAGAAAGGCATATCCAGAATGGCCAATGCCTAAAAATGGCCAATGCCTATAGTTCAGCAGCAGTATGGGACTGCAAGTTTCCCATTCCTGCAGCAGAAGTGTTGGTATTTGCTGTAAATGTAATTAGATGCATATATAATGTCATTTTTTGTAATTCAATATGCTTGGATACATGAACACTCAGGGGAGAATGAAACATGTAATGGGATATGTCTGGAAACAACAACAGCTATCATTATGTCTGGATGAGTCATTACATGTGGATGCCTGTGTATACACGTTAAGTTTTGTCTGGTCCAATTGTTTATTTTGGAGATTCTACAATATGCTGTTGCATACTATGGCTCCTGGAATAGGGACAAGGGGTTTTGTAAAATCCCAGTTTTGAAATGTGCAATTTTGTGTGTTTAAATGATTTAGACATCTCATATTTCAGATTTTAATTTAACAAATGCCACATAGGACAGTCCAAAAACTTGTACTATAGAAAAAGCAGCATAAAATATTCATCAGCAAATTCAATGAGTTTTAGGAAAATTTCTTATGATTTTCGAGAGCTGGTTTACTGTAGGTGCCTAGACTGTGAACCCTAAAGTGTCTATTTTAGAATAAACTCATTTACTTTATCTGCTAGTTTCTGACCAATTTTCTCACCTGGTGCAATTGAGGAAAACTGTCTTTCTTTACCAGACTGTTCTAATTACTTTTTAGATGATGATATATAGTGGATGTGAACAGATTTTAAATTTATTCTTAGAACTCAGAAGTCCAATAATGATGAAGCTTGGTATCACACAGAATAAAACCTAACACAACCTGTGGATCTGAGAATAGATCAAGTTCTCTTCTGGATCCAGTGAACTGTATCCTAGAATGGCCTACTTGCACAAGTCCAAACCAAATCAGATATGATACATCTGATTGAATTCACCAAACAGATTTGTTGAGTCTACAATTGCTAAATAACTCCCAAGGAAAGCTGCTCTAATAAATTGAGAAAATCTCACATTATGCAACTTTTTTAATGATTGTTGAACTGCTAGGAATAAGATCTGTGGCAATCTGCTGGGAATCGTGCAGAAGTCAGTTACCAGTAGATTCCAGTTCTACCACCCAGATATCCACACTAGTGCTATATACAAACATGAATATATACATTATCACCAGTAATAACAATTAATGACCATGGTTATCTTGAAGTCTACTATCTGGAGCCAAGTGCTAAATAATAGTTTAGTAAATGGGAAGAAGAATGCTCAGACCTCATCCTCATAGAAACAATTCATAACCATGGTTATTAATTGTTGGTTGTTCTATCCTAAACACAGAAATGTTAAAATGGTGTTCTTTTAAGCAAAAACATGTGTGCCTTTTTATATACATCTTAATCTATTGCAAGGCATATAGCAATAATTCCTCATTTCCTGTTTTCTGGCAGGGGTGGGGAGATTATGGCCCAAGGTAGCATGGACTCCTGAATTATCTTTCTATAGTCCTT